TGTAAAACTTTCTTGATGTACTTAGCTTGTGAAAGTTTTAGTGTACCAGTAACTCTGTTTCTGGCTATGCTCATGCGCAATATCTGCTTAGTGGCCCCTAGGTACTTCATCTCGAACTCTCTGGACAACTGTTTTTTAATCTTGTTGATCTCTTACATGTCGGACCCAACAATTAACATGTCATCAACATACCATAACAGGATGATGTATGAGGAGTTGAATTTCTTCAAGTAACGACAGTGATCCATCTCACATCTGTTGTACCCACTCCCTTGCATGAAGCTATCAAACTTCAACTACCACTGTCTTGGAGCTTGCTTCAATCCATACAAACTTTTCTTCAGTTTGCACACTATATTTTTCGTACCAACTATGGGAAAACCCTTTGGTTGTGTCATGTAGATTTCTTCTTTCATGTCACCATGGAGAAAAGTTATCTTCACATCTAGCTTCTCTGGATGGAGATCTTTAAATGCTACAATACCCAAGACCATTCTGATTGTAGTCATCTTTACAACTGGAGAGAAGATCTCATTGTAATCAATTCCTCTCTTCTGTTGAAACCCTTTGACCACCAACCTTGCTTTGTATCGTTTTGTGCCATCATTATCATCTTTGACCGGAATTACCCATTTGTTGTGCAGTGCTTTCTTCCTTGTTGGGAGCTTGACCAAGGACTAAGTATGGTTCTTGTCAAGTGAGCTTAACTCGTCTTCCACAGCCTTCTTCCAATATATGGAATCTTTCATCCTTAAGGGCTCTAGATAAGACTTAGGTTCACCATTCTCAGTCAACATCAAGTAATTAGCTGAAGGAGAATACTTGACTGGAGGTCTTCGTACTCTAGTGGATCTACGGACAATAGGTGTTAAGGTTTTTGCATCATCTAAAACTGTTGGATTAGGTGTCTAAGCCCATAACTATAATTGGTATGTACTTGACCCGAGAGTAGCATGATCCATTTTGGGTTGCATTCACAAGAACTGTAACATTCCATTTTTCAAGTAGCTTCAAGTTCATCCCTCGGATTTGAATTAGGTCACTTTTAGCCCTTGGTTTTGAAGGAAGTGGCAAAAGGAGGGCCTAGTGGCAAAAAGGAAGTTTTAGGGTTGAAGTAGTACGCCGGGCGTACATGTGGTACGCTAAGCGTACTAGGGCGCGCCCTAGTACGTTGGGCGTACGTGTGCCAGGAAGGAACCCTCACTTTTAGGGTTTGTGGAGTATTTAAACACTTTATGGACCAACTACTAGGATATCAGATCCAATGGGCCGGCATTGGTGCCTTCGACCCCTTAGTATAGTGAGGATAACTCACCTCACACTACTAAAGTCCCACGGATAAACTTCATCTGCTGGTTGAAAAATTCCCGAGCTGTCAATCATCAAAACATTGCCCAATTAATAATTGGGTTCCAATACATAACCATAAGTCCATGCTTGGGGTAAAAGACTGCTTTACTCCAACCTAGCTTGATACAAGTCCAAGGCCCAACTCACACTCCAAAGGCCCAAAAGTCAAGTTATGGGCCAAAGCTCAACATATGGCCCAATTTTCCAAATTGGGCCCAGACCTCTACATGGTCTTTTCTTAAGGCCCATCCATTTATTCTAGTCCAAAATATTGGTACTCCAGTGGCCCAATGTCTCATAATCATCAAGGCCCAGTTATGGCCCGCCTATGGGCCTTATCTTAAAGCCCATCTAAATATTCTAATCCATATGCTTGTTTTTGGATGGCCCATCAATAACCCAATCACCAAAGCCCAAAAGAAAGGCCCAACTCAAGGCCCAAGTGAAATTAGGGTTTTCACATGAAATGACGATTAAGGTTAAGTTTTCCTACTTAACCCATTAAGGACTTATTCCATTAAGTCCAATATTGACTTAGGTTAATTGCAAATGATAATTAATTAATATTTTAAGTTTAGTGAATAATTCAAGTGCGGGTCCCGATCAAATTCCCAAAATTAGGGTTTCAAGACATTAGGGTTTTCCAAACCCTAATTAGGGGTTCCAACCCAAATACTAGCCCATTAGTCACATAGTTGGGCTTTTAGGTCAATTAGGGCTTCATTGGGCCCATTAGGGTTTCATTAGTCGGGTACCACCCACTACCACCTCGGGTAGTGGTGGTTAATGGCGGCTCACGGCGGCGGCCACCACCTCACGGTGGTGGTTATGGTTCTAGTCCATTTTTGTCCAAGCATGCCAAAAACAACTAAGCACAAGCAAAAGCACACCGCCACCCAACACGGCGGCTGGTGGCGGCAACCACCATCTCACAGCGGTGGTTATGAGTTTCTCTTCATTATTCTAATCTCTAATTGCATTTTACAATGCTTTAACCCAAAAATAACACACACACACACACACTAATAGATAAACCCACACACAACTACCCTTGTGGTGGCCGACGGTGGTAGATGGTGGTAGCCACCACCTCACGGTGGTGGTGGTGGCTGTTCTTGTGAGTTCCAGCCAAACGGAGCCACCTACAACACACACACACACACACACTTTACTTGGCAAAAAGAGCTTCGCCACCCACCTAGTGGCGTACTGTGGCGACAGTGACACAAAAGGAGGGCAACAACGGCAACTATGGCTTGTCCTCCTACATTCCCGACGTCCCATCGTCGATCTTCGTCTTCAGTCACGACAAAAGTGGCAACAGTGACGACATAAACGAAAGAAGAGAAGAGATATGGTGGCAACGGATGCTCATGGTGTCCACTCAATCTTGCCGGAAGGGAAACAGCCGCAAGAAATGGAGATGACGGCATCGGCTCAGGGGCGGACGCAGGAATAAGTAGCAGTAGGTGCACAAAAAAAAATTCCAATAAAATATAACAAAAAAAAATATGAGTGCATTAAACATAACAAACTATTGTAGACAAACTTCGTGAAGGGTAAATTGGTCTTTTCATGGACAGGTTCTTGGTCTCGTGGAGCTTGTTTTTGTGTTGGTTGTGGTTGTATAAAGTTTTGAAGGCATTATTACCAAAATTTCATTCCGAATTAATGTATTTTTATAAGTTCCATTGTTTAGAGCAAAATATAATATACAAATGCCAACTAATAAATGCATTTTTATAAGTTCAATACATTTGCTTGACAAAACAAACAAATCAATTCAAAATGTAGAATGAGACATAAATTGACTAGAATGAGACATAAATTGAGTTGAGACATAAATTGACTAGAATGAGACATAAATTGAGTTGACCTAAATTTTAATATTTATGAAGAAAAGCAGTTGTTTAGTTTGAAACATATGTAATGTGTATGTACACATATATGTGTGATGTATGTGGAAGAAATGTTAAAATAGGATCCCCATAGGAGGAGGCTAGCTCGCTAGGTAATTATTTTACGCCAAAAGTGAATATAAGACCGTTAAGTATACAACCTTACATATAGAACATATTAAAACTACGTAATTTTGATTAAATCTTATATAAAAATAAATGACTATTCAATGTCTACATTTTCTTCTAATATATCTCCAAAATATGTCTTCTTCCTTCATTCACTCCACTATTTTCCGTCACTTCTTATCGTATTATTGTATTATTGTTTTTTATGATGCAAAAGCTATTACGTCGAGAAGAAATTAAATAGAAAATTATGAAAGGCCATGAGTCACAAAGAATTTGTAGATAGGTCTGATATACCCAATTGTGTATGAAAATATATATTAAATATGAAGACGGTTGAAATGATTTTGAGTTCATGGGAGCATATGTTTGCTAATGGAAAAAAAGTGATTTTTTATTAAATTGTCAAGTTAATAAAGAAGTAAACTATTAATATAGGAATTTTAAACAACAATGAAAGTGATTTAATTGAGTTTTATTGAAACGGTTTAGTTTTAACAGATTATTCACCAAGCCCTTACATCACATGTATGCTTTTTTTGGCTAGAGATTTTTGGGGGCCCGTAACAAATAGTACATAAAAGGAAAAGTGAATGTAAAAATAAAAAAAAACAAACTTGATGTTAGCAAGATTTGAACTTGAGCCCTTTTTCAAAAAGAAAACTTTAGCCTGCGCCTTTGTCCAACTTAGTCATCGCAACTTTTGATTAAATATGTGAACTGTAATGATAATATACTCGTTCCTTTATAGGTGCATAATAATAATAAAAAGTTTTTTTTATATTAATACGAAAAAATCTAGTAGTTGCCGGTGCAACCCCGTGCACCACTATAGATCCGCCCCTGCATCGGCTACGAGTCGGAAAGGAACCTAGGCAGTCGGCCTAGGCCATAGCGAACAACAACAAACAAATCCATCGACGTTAGCGGTGGCAGCATCACACGCAAGTTGGTTTCTCGGCGGTCTTCGATGTCTCTGGTCGTAGAAAACGTCGTTGGTGACCTTGCTGATCGGAAAACGGGAGTGAAGGGTGGTAACAGTTGAACGATGGAGGAAGGAGAGGTGGCGACTGAAGTATAAGTGGCTAGGGTTAGGGTTGCAAGGTGACAGGTTTATAAGTCCCGTCCCTTATCAAACTTCTATCCATATTGACAATATTAGTCCCTCCTTATCCCATTTTCTTTCAAATCAAATACTAATGTTACCAAACGACCCTTCCTATATAAAACCCTTTTCAACTTATGTCCATAATTTACCATTTAGTCCCTGCCTCCAAGAATCTATTCAATATAAGTCCAAATGATACCAAACACCCCCTGACTACTGAAAATCTTTACAAAATAAGTCCCGAAATTACACTTTAACCCCCGGGGATTCAATTTTTGTCATTTGGCTTTCCGAAACCACCACCCTGCTAATTATTATTTAATTTTGGGCTATAATAATATTAAATAATAATAATATTACTTATCGGGGTTCCAGGTTTATTATTTAATTATTCTATTTTAAACGAGATGTTACAGAGAAAGAGAGAGAGAGAGAGAGAGAGAGAGGTACGCGGTGGTGACGGTGGTGAAGGGATATTGGCAATAAACATCAAATGATGTAGTTCGGGTTTCAAAATGGGACCATTGCTTCTAAAAAACAAGAACATACTGTGCAACATCCTTGCCGACAAGGAGGCCAAGTCGGCAAAGAGGCCAATCCGCATGTGGATATGATATAATTGATTCGAACAATAACATGTTATTATTGACTATAAAAAAAGTTTGAGTATACGTACTAAAGTAGTGTTTGTTATCTAGTAATCCATGAGGAAATAAAATGAAATATTATGTTTGGATAAAAAATTCATGTTTGATCACAATAAGTGAAGGAAATTAATCATTTTTTATGGAACATGATCATGATGGATTTAGTTTTTCTATTTTTTTAAAATAAAATAATATATTTAATTATAAGTTATTTTCACTAATATAAACTAAAACTTTAATTACTAATAGTAATATTTTTAGTATAGAACGGTATTTTAAGATATTATGGTTTTCAGTTTTCTTTTTCATTTCCCTTTTGTTAACAATATATATATATATATATATATATATATATATATATATATATATATATATATATATATATATATATATATATATATATATATATATATATATACTTATTTCACCGTTTTAAGGAATTGCCCATTATACCCCTTAACCTAAACCTTATACAGCGACACACACATACGCCTCCTGCTTCTCTCGATCGTTTGCCTCCTCAAGCAAGCCCTCCCCCCCTGTGAAGCCACCGCCGTTAGCCAATCTCCTCCCCTGTGAAGCCCACCTGCCGGATACCGTCGCAACCAACAGCTAAGGTTCGTTTTTGTCCAATTTTTCCTGCCGTCGAGCCCTCCCTGATGTCGATTTTTTTCCTAGCTTTCACTCTTCCTTCTTTTCCCTGGTTTCTGTTAGATTTCTTTGTTGGTTCTATCAGTTGATGCATCACAAACTCATAAGAGCTGTAAAATAGAACGTGTGAAATGCGAATGAAATACCGAGGAGTTATATTCTATAACAATTTTTCTGTTCAATTGTTCATTATGTGAGTTTGAAGGATTTCAACCTCCAATTTTTCTGTTATGTAACAGTTTGCTTGCATATGTGTTTGTGCTTCAATTTTCAATTGAACCTAGATGTTATTCTTAAGATGCTTATATGATAACTGGAACAATTTGAAGGTGTATGTTGATCTTAAGTTATTCAATCCGTTCATGTTTTACCTTGTCACAGGTATATCATGTTGCGTATAAAAACCCCTAAATCCTTGAGAGCCAAGAGGGAGCTGGAGAAACGTGCTCCAAGACTGGTAATTCTCCAAACTTTTGTTTCTTATCTTTTACTAAAAGAATCAAATAGTTTGTTAATGAAATTTAACACCTAACTATGTATTTATGCAGGTGGAATTTGGGAAAAAGACACTCTTACTACATGGAACAAAAACAAGCAATGTCCTAAATGCTGTATTGACAGAAATCTATCATCTTAAAAAGGACAATGCTGTGAAATACAGCAGAAGAAACGATAACATCAGACCTTTTGAGAGTGGGGGTGAAACTTCACTTGAGTTCTACTCACTCAAAACTGATTGCAGCCTGTTTGTGGTAAGTTTACAATTTAAAATCTTTTTTTTTTCAAACACTTCTTTTATCTTTTTTTTTTCCACTTTGCAGTATGGTTCACATTCAAAGAAGAGGCCTGACAATCTTGTGATAGGAAGAACATATGATCACCACATTTATGACCTTGTGGAACTTGGAGTTGAAAATTTCAAAAGCATGGCATCATTTTCATATGACAAAAGAATAGCCCCATTAATAGGATCAAAACCCTTTTTTGCATTTATTGGAGAAGGATTCGAGAACAATGATGAGCTTAAGCATCTTAAGGAGGTTTTGCTTGACTTGTTCAGAGGACAGGTATGTCTTGTCTTTTTTACTTATTTGCCCTTTCTTTTCTTTATACTACTATGTATTTATTTTCATATATTATTGTAGGTTGTGAAGAACCTAAATCTTGCTGGATTAGATCGTGTGTATGTTTGTACAGCAGTTTCTCCTACTAAAGTGTTGTTTACACATTGTGCTTTGAGGCTAAAAAAGTCAGGGAATATTGTTCCTAAGATGGAGTTGGTTGAAGTGGGCCCCTCAATGGATTTGGTAGTTAGAAGACACAGGCGACCTGATGAAAGTTTAAGGAAAGAGGCCATGAAAATTGCTCCTGAGTTAACAAAGAAGAAGGTTGGTTAAGTTGTAACACTTGTGATGAAAACTGCAACAATGTGTATTGTATTTGAAAGTTTATGGTTTGATTTTGTTTGTGATAATTTCAGGAGAAGAATGTGAGCAAAGATCCAATCGAGGGCAAAATTGGAAAGATTTATGTTCCAGATCAACAGGTTGGAAATGCGTCTTTACCCTTTAAGCCAAAGGGGGTGAAAAGGGAGAGGAGGGAAGCTAAGGAGGCCAAAGTGGAAAAGAAGCAAAAGGAGTCTGAAGGGAAAGAAGGGAAAGAAAGCATTAAGCATTCAGAAAAGAAGCGAAAGAAGCAGAAAGATGATGATTCAGCTTGATAATGGTTTTAATTTAAGGGTTATGCTTTATATTAACAGTTTTGTGTTTTTGTTTCTTTTTTTGGATGAGATGGTTTTTCATTATATTTAGTCAAAGTTTTGTTGTTGATTATGCATTTATGCTATATCTTTTAGTTTGCACTAGATGAAATGATTTGTCAGTTTTGCTGTTTTGCTAATGGATGGTTAATTTCGTATAAGTTGAATGTTACAAAACACAGATGAACAAAATGACATCAAAATCATAAACTAACAACACTTGAATATGAATCATTTCACCAATTTGACAAACTCCGTGGAATCACCTGAAACTTGAAGATTTAGGAGATCTTTCTACATTTGCACTCTTCTTTTCAAACTTAACAGGATATTGCAGAAATGTTTCGTCTAAATGTTTCCTTATTGGTTGCTCACAGTTTTGCTGTTTGGCGAACAACTTGTCCAAGGTTGTTGTGTCATTCTCCTCATTGTCCATTGTGGTCCGTTTTTCTTTTCTTCTATCTTTGTAGTTTTTGTTAGATTGTTCTTCTGAAGTAGTTTGGGACTCCTATCGTCTGCTATCCCTTTTATGTGCATTATTGTTGGCAACAATTTCAAATTGCGGTTTTCGGTATACGGTCTTTTTGATAACCTTGTTGATGTTGGTCATTTCATTGCGTTTTGTATTGCTCATGAAGGTTATTTGTTTTCTTTGTGAATGCATTTCTCAGTATTGTTAGATGGATGATGCCAATGTTGCTATCTGGTCTTCCGAATGCGTGGTAGCACATAGGTGGTTTTATTGTCTAATGCACAATCTGGAAGGCAAACTGCAAGAGGTAGACAAATAATATGTTACAAAGCGATACCGAGGGATGGACCCCGATATTGCTCTTCGATGCCTAAGTCAGATGTTGATTAGGAACGTAGTAAAGTTGTTAGACATGAGAAAGTTTTCCCCTTTTCCTATGGTGATGCTCGGCTTTTATAGGCGTTTGAGGGTGCATCTGTCCATGGTTCTACCCGGTTTCTTGCATGGTCCGGGTTGAGACAGCTATAAGGCATGTACATCGTTATACTTGTTTATTATAAAGATTTGTATATTTGCACTTTTCCGGGATATGCTTAAAATTTTTTGTAGGTTTTTACCCGTTGTGTGTTGTAGATCTGAACTATAATACATGTTCATGTGGGAAGTAGCTCAGTCTCAGTATATCGTGTGATCATGCTATTGCGACATCATGTCATTCGAACATCCATGAATTAGCCAATATGATTCAGATATATTATCGGGCTGATGTGTTTCAGACTACCTACCACACACAAACCATGCACCATCTTCTTTCTCCATCTGAATGGGAATAGGGATGTCAAAAAGTCCCGTGGGACCCCGATCCCGTGGGGGCCCCGTTCCGTTTGGGGGTATTTTCTGAAAAAAAATCGGGGATGGGAGCGGGGTCAGCAGCATCATGGTTAACCCCCGTTTTAATTTCGGGGGCGGGGGTAGGGATTGGCAGTCCCGTCCCGAAACCCCCATGGGGACCCCGTTAATAAATTATATATATTTACATATATTAATTATATAAATATAATAAACAATAGAATTATTTTTACATACTAAAATTCAACCAAAACATGTTTTTAAGATGTTTGTAACATGTAAAATTATTCTATAAATAACTATTTGTTACCCAAAAAATAGTTTTTTTAGCCTAAACAAGAACTTCTTTTAGCCTTAATAAGGTAACCTAAAATCAATCGGGGGCGGAGGAACGGAGGCGGGGGCTGGGGAATAGGAGAATTTTAGGGGCGGGGGCGGGGGATGCAATCACCGTCCCGTTTGCCCCCGTTGACATCCCTAAATGGGAAATACCAAACCCTTTGATGGTTGTTTTATGCCTATGTAATTGCAATTAATTATGTGAATCCGGAATGATATTCCAAAAAACAAACAAACATTACATATTATATAGATTAACTAATAAGTGTTACATAAACTTAGTTGATAAACATAAAGCTTACAACTTGTACACAACAATACCAAAAAAGAAAATCCAACTACAAATTAACGTTATCTTCAAGTGCAAATTTTTGGTTTCAAGCTTCTTCTTCGATCGAACTAAGTTACAAATTATCAATGAATTATTGTCTTTTGCTTCGTCAACCCAACAGATAAACCCAAACTGTGGTCCCTAAAAATTTAATATCAAACACGTGACGTATATTATGTAAATTATTATTAATTCAAAGTAAAAGTAATGAAATTATAACACATATACCTCTTTAGGACAAGCGTAAAATAGCCATCCAGGGTTATTGCTAGTCATTGATGTCCTTATAATACTTTGAGCGCCACAATTGCATGTTTGATTTATGAGAAATGAATTTTTAGTAGTAAATTTAACAAGGTATCGAGTTTGGAACACTTGAATTCAATTATATAATGGCATTTTTAGAGGGCACTACAGTCTCATAGGGTGTACTATGTGTAGTCATTCCGAATAGTAAACTTGTAATAGATTCCTAACACACGGAGTCAATGACACATATTCCGGACATGCATTCCGGAGCACATTCCGGACGCATATTTCAGACCCTCATTACGGACATTACATTTCACCTTTAATATGCAACTAATTATGTTTATAATCGATTTTTGGAGTGATTAATGAAAGATTTTATTATTGCCCTAATATTTGTTAGATGTTACAAAGATAGAAAAAACATAATTTATAACTACCATAACCTTATTAAACATAAAAATAACAAAATACATAATTTAAAAATACGAGACATCTTTTAAAATATCCCAAGCATGCCCGTATGGAAAATCAACCTTGTTATTTTTGTATCTATATTCCACCTTTTCCAGCTGTAAAATTACTTGTTCATCTTCATCAATTAATTCGTTGTTGAGCTTGTGATAAATTTTTATAAAATTCTTCACCTTTGACAATATGTCTACAAACTTAGCATTCACTTCTTCTTCAGTTCGATATTGTGGAACATCTAACTCAAAGTGAAACAAAATTTTCAATTGTGCACATCACGATCCGTACATTAGATGTGGCAGCATGAGGAAAACCATATTATCCTCAATTACCCAATACAAAACGAGTGTGATCTCTTCCTGTATAGTCCACGACTGGGGTTGATTTACTATCATTCCAGACTTCTAAAAGTTTTACAATTCTGGAGTTCTAAAGGTTTTACAATTTCAGTCTCTTGTTTATAATGGTTCATGTTGGATTCCGAACTGACATTCTGAAAGTCATATCAATCATTCATGTATAGTCAAATCAGTTATATATGTCATATATTCCTGACGAATATGAGTCACGGACGCATATTCCGGACACGCATTTCGAACGTGGCATTTCGGAGACGTAGATTACGGACATCGCATTCCAGACACTTATTCCAGACATGACATTTCATACTATTAATATGTACCTACCATGCATCGTAAACATATACATAAGTTGAGAATGAGTTCATCTGAGTTTGGTGGGTTTGGTGTTTAACATTGTGAAAAAGAAGATTACCATGTTTGTTTAGATATTAACTCGTTTCCGGAAGGCCCAGATTTCCCACCACCGGATAAAATGCCTAATGGCATCTTTCAAGCTATGAAGGCCGTTGAACAAGCAAACGAAAGGGATTCTGAAACAAGCCAGACACTAGATCAATGTGCAAACGATCTAGCGAAACACATAAACGAAAAAATGGGTTGCTGAAGTTATGAAAAAGGTCATAGAAGCTAAGAAGTGGATTCAACATGCAAATGCAAAGATTGATAAGCTTCATGTTGAACGAGACCGTCAAACATATGTTGTTAGAATTAGAGGATATTTTATTGACTGCGAACAAAATATGTATCCCTTACAATTTCCTAATTTTTGGAAACCAATATAAGTATGTATTAGGATTTGTAACGATCTTTGTACTAATGTGAATGAAAAACATTGTCGTTTTAGATAACCCTACCATTTTGTTTACATATTTAAGTTTCAAAAGTCATTACAATATTAAAATTTTATATTACATTTCCAATATAACCGGAAACTTGCATCTGATGCAAGCTAGCGATGTCTACATGATTTTCAAACAATTCCATGTAGATTTTAATTAGGCTAAACCCATTATTTGTCAATTGGACTCAGTCTTCTATTGTTGGAGTTGTCATACATGCTTCTTCGATGAGGTCCATTGTGTTCACAAACTGTCGTATATCTTCAGATATCGTGATGAGGACCATTTGCATATTATACACTGCTAGTTTTCTCTGCTCCTCGGCCGCAGAAGGCGGTAAGATTTACAGTATCACCATTCGTTGTTTCGCACGTTGATAATCACCGTCACGAATGAACTTTAATGCAATCGTATCAACAAGACATCGTTGTCCTTCTTCAAGACGTAGTATATCATATTCTGTTGGTAACTCATCCTCATTGATCTAGTCACTGAATGTTGGAGACTGAATATTTTTAAATATATTAACATACACATTAAAAACATGGACTTGCATAAACATATCTAACAATAAAACCAACATGCTGAAACATAACCATCAAAATATAATGACATTGCAATTAGTTTATAATAATTGGTTTGTCTGAACTTGCTCCGGTCCCATTTTTTGGAATTCTATCTGCTTTCAATTTAAGCTTTAAAAACAATTATGATTTCTTTCTTAATTTTATAGGTGTCTTTGCTGGTTTATTTATTTATTTTATAATTTCTAAATCAACATCCTGGTTTGTTATCTACAAAAAAATAATTCCAACAACATTTTAATGCATATTACCATAAAAACCAACCATTTTAACAAAATTATAATCATTTTTACCTTTACTGGGTGTAATTTTGAAAGCTACTGTAAATGGAATAAAACCTTTTCTTCTGTAAAACCCAGTTTTTTAATAACATCCATGCAAACTCGTCTTTGGACTAATAGAGGTTATTAAACAATGTCAGCCACAAAAAAAAATTAATAATCAATTATCATTCTGACTTCTCGTTCCAGAACATCATTCTAGGCCAAGTTCTTCGTATTCCGGAACATCATTTCGGACCAAGATCTTCGTATTCCGGACCTAAAGAACCTTTCCAGATTTTCTAGAAACATAGTTACGGACTAAAAAAAAACGGTTCTAAACAC